TTGGGGTTGGTACGAGGGTTGAGGCTCAAATCTGTGTGACGCTAATTCTACATGAAACCCTGCGTCTCCCCCATTATTTCTAAGGTTGAAACCATGGGCCCCTAGTATGGGCCCTTAACCCTGGGATCCCTAGAGCCTACTATTTATGCTATATGTGCCCTTCAGGGTCCCTAAAATCTCCCCTAAGGGTCCATATGAGGGGTCCATAGTTCTAACCTCAGATCCAGGGGATTCTAAAGCGGCTACTATATGAGCCCTGGACTGAAGTTGTAGTATATCCCGAAATAGGTCCCCCCCAAAACCCTATATGAGCTACAGTCAATATTTCCTACCCAATTTAATGGACATGGGTTCCTTATTAGGGACTATATTAGGGACTATACTAAACTACAAAGAGGACCTTAATGTCCACTGTTAAGGGGCCCTTAATAAGGCTAATATTGACAGTAGCTCATATGGCTCATGGGTTGCTTTGCTGCAATCGAAGGCAGATTGCTATTGTCAAGTCTGACTGGAATCATTAAGCTGAAGCTGTGGTTTTGGGTTGGGCCATTTGGGAGTATCCCAAAATTTGGGGTACCTTTTGCGAGTCCCCCTAATAAACATTATAACATAATGGACTGGCATTATTTCAGAAGAAATGCAAGCTTTTGCATACCCATCGAACCTGCCTTTCTGGGTCAGCTGCATGATGTTTGTGCAAACTCCGTTCATGAAGTCCTGCAGGGAATGGCAAAGGGCTGATGGCTCAAGTGGCTACAAGGAACAACATACTGCCCTGGATCCGAAATTCCAGCTCAGAAACTTGAACGTCCCAGATGCCTCGGAGTGGGACGTGAACAGGAGCGTGTTGGGGTACCGAGAGAGGTACTCCTGTCGCCGTCAGGCGAAGCCCCCAGAGCTTGTCCAACTCTCTCAGTGATATGGCTTGCTGCAAAAGGGAACCTCCAGTTACCTCCACTTTGTCTGGTAGCTTCTGCCTCAAAACCCAGGCCTGGCAAATCCTGAATCCTGCTCCCTCGAAAATCAGCCTGCAGCCTCAAACTGATACACCCCAAAGTCTGAACCCTTCCTCCAGCCAGACGCATGCACCCAGATCGAGGTGGTTCGTGGGCCTGGCAGGGTGTGCAGCAGGCCATGTAAGGCCGGATCTAGCCTCCGTAGGGTTGTTTGCGTCGGCCATGCAACTGTAAGAGCCAAGGTGTGATTGAAACTTTGGATTTGAAGCCGAGGTGTGAGTAAAATGGTGGATTTCTAAAGCGGAAGCTTGGTATAACAGATACCCCTTTGCTGTTACAAGGCTTCTTGTAGAAGCTGAACTCGAAATGCAATTGACAAAGCTGTATCTGGCCTCATTTCCTGCGGAAGGAATATTGCTAATTGGGCGGGGAAGGAATCTAAAGAGAAGCCCTGGACGCACACATCCACCACCTGTCCTGAAAGGCTACCCTTAACAAGCTAACCCTTTCAACTGACTAGTCCAGATTCGCGCCATTCTGCTTGGGAGGGGTTCATGGACGCCGAATAAGCAAGGAAGCACCTTTGGGATATTAGAGAAAGACTCACTAGGAGTGCCGCTGCCATGTGACAACCCTACAGCGAACTAACGAAGCTGAGACTAGCTGCGCATCTGAGGCCAAGAAAAGGGCTGCTCATGGGAAATAGAGATGCTGCGAGACTTTGTACCCTTACTCAGCACTTGGAACTTAACCACCGGAACCCGGAGTTGATGATGTAAGGCTCCGGCTCATCCAGGATCAAGAGCATTGGCTCGACGAACCTTGGCATCAGTTGAAGCAGCTTGGACGGTGACGTCGCAACTTTGGGGCCTCACTTCTAAGCTTCCAAAAGCTTCATGCAGACCACCACACCGGAGGGGTTGAATGGTGTTTATGTTGTTGACGCTGCCGAGGGATCCTCGGAACTACACATCTTGAGGCCGGGAAATATCAACCTTAGTAAGAAGGAAGCCACCAAGGGTTCGGGGCATAACATAGCATAGAACAAAGGTGGTTCCACGGTAGAACTTCTTGCACACTAGCCGCGTTCAAAATCCGTAAGGCTCCTACTTTTTCAGGTTCTCGTATCAACTCAGGCTGCAAAATATGAAGCCAAGGAAATGCGATAGTAGTCTGTGGCGTTTCTGGCGTAAAACACCTTAAGTTAAAAGGCCTCCTAGAACTGTATTTGCATCCCAAGATTAATGAGCTGCCTGCACCCCAAACCCCTCACCCCAAGCCCAATGCACCTCGGACCTGAGATCCCAAACATGCTCATGCTTAGGTCCAAATCTGGCCCAAGGCACAGAGCCTGTGCGAGCGCCACGCGCATTCGCCAGCCACCAGACATGTCTTTAGTGGCCTGGACAGGACATCTCCACGTTGCAGGTCGCAATTTTGCCGGGTCCTAGCATAAGACTCCCAATACTCATGTCTTCCAGGTAGCGGTTTAGAAGAGGGTGCTGTGGGTTAATCAGAACAAAGGCGGCTTCACTATGAGGAGCCGCTGAGGGCTGCGCGGCTTCTACTGTAGTTTGCTCGGTTCGGTCCTTGTTAAGTGGCGCACCTCAATGCATCTGGAAGTAAAAAGTGCCTTAGCGATGCCTGCAAAACCTCCAGGGATGCTAAACCATTGCCACAAAACACCGTTGAATGTATGCGTTGATCTCATCTTGCGAAACTCGGTAACCCTGCCGAGGGTTATCCCTTAATCCCCAGCACATGAATGAATACCCAGAGTCTTCCCAAAATGCCTTGATACTCCCTCGCCTCTTGGCACAATCCAGATTTGATTAAGCTCCCCGTCTCAGCAATCCAGTTTCAGCCTTCTGCATCATCTGCGGCGAGAAACCCAGACCGTGAAGAAGCTCGCAAGCCCTTGCGGCGCAAGAAGGTTCATCTGGCTACAGCAACATTACGTAAAGGGTTCTCAAGGTTTGGTTTTGGAGCCCAGCTCCCTGGGCAAGCTTCACGAAGAAGAGCGCGGCCGTACTTGAGTTTGCGTCAAACCATGTCTTCGTCGCCTGGGCTCAAACGTGGAAGGGTCCATCTTGTCCAGCTTGTCACCGATGACCTGAGGAGCAACCACATAACGTGGGCAGCAAGGAAGTAACCGTAGCCCTTGCACTAATGGGGTGTTTCCCAAAATTAGGGGTAGCATATTGGGGGTCCCCATAATGAAGGTGTACGCATAGTATATTAGGTCAATATTGGGGATCCCCCTATGTAGTTTGGTGCCCCAGACGCAGACAGATGACAAGAAGCAGCGCCTAGTACCAAGTGTGAAAGGTTCCTGACACCTAAAACTGTGAGGCTAACTATGATGAACCCCCGTGAATCCTGCTGCTAGTACCATTACTGACTGTTAAAACTATTACTAACAATATGTTTACTAGTACTACTACTGTTACTATTACTGTTACCAGTACTGTTATCGCTATTGTGAACTAACATCGCAACTTTCTAGGAACCTGTAACCAAAACACCGGAAACATCCATGAACACCCTGGCCACCCCGGACTTCCCTAGCAAATGCCAACACTTCTGCAGCACCACACCACATGTTCTAAAGCACGGAAACAATGCAAGGCAACAAGACGAGACATCTCTGCAAGCTTGACGATGTTTGACCACCATCCTACAACGTTTGAATCGATGTTGGCAAGTGCCGGAGGTTAAGCATGGCTAGCCTTGGAACGCGAACTACTGCAGAAGGCTTCACGTAGGCACCCAACCAAAACCACTAAGCGTGTCAAGCCACCCTGGGCTAGTTGAACTGCCTTTGTTGATTCTCATGGTGGTTGTGGACACCTGGTGAAGCCACTGTGACACCCATGAAGTTTGAATTTCCTCCCATATGGACTTCGGCCCTAAGAAGCTTCAACCAACCTGAAGGTAGTCCGCGTTCTTCTCGGGATCCTCTTCCAGGAGTTTGATGGAGAGCTCCTGGACACAAGCTTTGAACGAATGTGGGCCTAGGGAAGGTACTGGAAAACCATCCTGCTGTATATTTGTACGAGAGAATTCGCTAACACTGAACTTTGAAAAACTGCCCGGGCATCAGCTGGGAGAACGCACCTTCAAGCCTGTCAGCAAAGAGGATGCAAGAAAGACAACCCAAGTTGAATCGGGATTGCGCTCCAAACTCTGAACTGGGCACTGCTTTTGTGGAATCCCTCGCAGAACGCTGAACACAGTGATTCTCAGAAGTGGATGTTAAGACGACTTAAGTGTGTGCAAGAAGGTCAAGGTATGGTGAGTCCACGTCCAAAACAACTTGCCGCCTGGCTAACAGCTACAGTACATGCACGCAAAAGTATGCAAAGATCAGGAAGATCATCCGTGCCCCAAAGGTTGTGCCATAAACAGGTCGTATCGCGCCACGGGAGCATGCTCTACAATCGCTGCCCTCAATCCCAAACCCAACAGCAAACAGCGTGCCTCCAAACGTTTGTGCTCGTCCGCGACGACGTTCACCACGGCCTGTTCCAGGCTGAATGCCAGTCTTGAACACAACAAACGGGGCATCTTAAGAAAAAGGGTTGAGAGCTTGAACAGAAACTCCAGGGCTTAGAGCTCAGGAGGAGGCCCCTTCACCGCAAAGCTTGGCATCAAACCTTTCAATTGGACCCCTAATAAAGCCTCAGCTGCGACAGAAAAGGTTTGGAGAACCCTCTAATATCCTTTGGTCATCTGAAACCCTTGACCCTCGATATTGCCTGATAGATATTGAAAGATGTCGCTGAAACCCTGAAGCCTTGCTGTCAGGGTGTCACAAAGCTTGCATGGTGAATATTGACAAGTGCTCATATAGAGTTATATATGGATTATATGATGGGGACATACGAGCTACAGGCTATAGTCTAAACTCCGAGTATCCCCATTCATAGCTCCTGGAGTAGTCCCCCATATAATCACACATATAACCCTATTTAAGGTGTTTAGATGTTGGCTCATTTAGGGTTATATAGGGTCTATGTGGTTGGGGTGCAACGATGAAGTCAGGATACCCAACACCCACAAGCCCTGTGTAGTTTCCAGTTATCAAATGCAAAATGAGATGGACGCGTCCATTTCAGCTGCCAACCACATCACGCAGTCCTAAACCCTAAAAAAAACCCTGTAGATCCCTTCAGATCCCCATATATCCCCCAACAAACCCTTCAGGGGGGGGGGGCTAAACCCTAAACCCTAAAATATAAACACAGTATCCATTTCATTTTCCATTTTCTTTTCCATTTGATTCTCCATTATAGTAGGTACCCCTAATTTCCCGAAACCCTGAGCCCTGAACCCTGAACCCTGAACCCTAAACCCTAAACCCTTCCTACTGAGACTGGACCTGGATGGCTGTCGTGTCCTCCGGCTTAGCCTCGCTATCCAGGAACCAGATGTCCTTGCTTAG